TGCGATAGAGTTTAAAGCCCGATTTTTCGCTAGGGTTTCAAACCCCAATTTGTGCTAGGGTTTCTAAGTAGTGCTAATTAAACAATAGAAAACAATAAAATTAGCATAATTTAGCAGTATTTAGTGGTATTTATGTTACAAACTTATAGTGTTTGAACTCTATTTGATTATATTTTTTACTTGGACTGATACATATGATTTTCGGGTTTTTGGACATGTACATTTGTGATTTTTATTACATTTGTGACCAAAGTTTATTACATTTGTGACCTTTATTACATTTGGGTCCAGTTTTTACATTTGTGCCTTCTACAACCCTCACAAAAGAGCACTTTAATGGCTTCCAACCACCTTGTCCTCTCTTTACAACCATTCTGCCCAATGAAGATCAACTTGGCAATATACCATTTGCACAGAGCAAGTTTGGAAATGTCCCAAAAGGCTGCGTACTGTCGTATCAACAAAAGAAGTCAACTGACCGAATCATAAATGATTTTACTTGCACTTCTTTCCCAGAGCTTCCCCTCTCAAGTGCAGAGGACAGATTTAATAACAATGTGTCAATCTGTCTTGACAGTCGTCAACAAGCTATATCAACTATGAAGGAACGATTAGACATGAGAGCATTCATATTTGCTGTACTCACGTGAAGAAACGCGAACAATTGTCAAAGTTTACAAAAGTTGAGATTGCTGCATAGTCACTCCTCGGTCACCTTTCCTATTACAGCTACTGCGTGGCGCCCATTGTAGTGGATGTTAGATTTGCATTGATTTACACCTGTAATTGTATATGGCGCTTGCATAATAAAACACAAAATACACCACAATAACTGGCGACCAGGATGGCCACATTGTAAAAATTCGGAGGACTTCTTTAAATAATGTGAGATTTCCTTTATTGGAAGAATATAAGCATTCGACGAAGCTACAGAATCATGGAGTGCCTACATCGAGCATTTGGAACAATATTTTACAGTCGACAAGATCAAAACAGAGAAGAAAGTTATTGCGCTTCTTACGCTACTTGGAAGTAAAACTTATAATCTCTTGCGGAATTTAGCAGCCCCAGAAAAACCTTCTGAGCTTGAGTATAATACCATCGTACACCTTTTGGAGAGACTATCGCCTAAACCGTCTGTAATCACTTAACGTTACCGATTTCATACAAGAATGCAAGACGAAGGAGAAACTATAAACGACTACGTAGCACAACTAAGGAAGTTGGCGATTGACTACAACTTCAATAACCTGAACGACACACTCAGAGATAGATTAGTATGTGGAATCCATAATACCGTAACACAGAGAAGACTGCTTTCAGAATCTACGTTACCATTTGAAAAAGCTATCGCAATATCCGTAGCAATGGAAATGGCCGCAAAAGACGCAACTGAATTAACATACATTAATTTACATACATTTTCTGGACACAAAATGCAACACTACTTACCGAAATAAAATTACATATCTCATCTTCTATTAAAGACACACCGCTTGCATTCCTAAACAGTACAGTTCATCTTTCTAACCAAAGGATCTGATAAGTTTTTTCAGCTTTGAGATCGAAAAACAAGAAGTAATTTTTCAAAAACCAAATCGGAAACATTTTAAAGGAGAACCCCACACTCGATCCATGGCTTACTCAATTAAAAGTTTATTATATACTTATCTTTTCTACAAAGTCTTGACTCCATAGCATCCAGTACAGCAGAGAAATAATTTACGAAAGACACGAAAAATCCGAGCATGGCGGTCGCCATTTTGAATTGCCTTCTGAACGCGCAACATACTACTGGTCAGCGGCGTGTGACGTCACTGCGCGGTCTATCAACTTTCGCGCGAAATTCAACAAAAACACTCTCTACACGGCTTTGTTTA